TCCTTGCTAGCTAGCTCTGTTTGCTTTCTTTGCTCTCAAACAATTCAGGGCCCAGTCTAGGGAATGGTGCTTCCCAGAGTAGACTGGGTTGTCCCACAGTAATTATAAAGCAACACAACCCACAACTGACATGCCCTCAGGCTAACGCCATCTAGACTCTCTTCACAGGTGATTCTAGATGTGTGAAGTCAGCAGTGGAGACTCACCAGCACAGCTAGTCTTACACTTGCTCTCACGGCACAAGGCTCAACTCATAGGCCAACAGAAGCTCAGTAGTTGACCCATATACGGAGTGGAAGAGCTGCAGAGAACAAGCGAACACCGTTCCCCACTCACATTGGAGGAACCTGCTAGCCAGAAGAACACATTATGTGTTTCCACATTAAGATGGCAATTTCATGTTGCCAGATAATATAATTTCTTAGGGGAGATGTCAGAAGTACTTAAATATTCCATTTTAATGAACAGTCCGCTTGCCACAATCCAGTGCTGGGATTAGGGATAAGGTAAGTAAGGGACTTGTGTGTTAGTTCTTAAATTTTAGATATTGGCCCAAAATATTATGATCAAGATAAATAGTAACTTAACACAATTTTATTCTCTGTCTCTCTGTTTCTCTCTGTCTCTCTGTCTCTCTGTGTGTGCGTGTCTGTGTGTGTGCACACACACACATATACATGTTTGTATGTCGGCCTCTGATACAGGGTATCATTTATGCCAAGTTGGCTTGGAACTCTCCATAGCTGAGTGTGACCTTGAACTTCTGATCCTCCTGTCTCTATCTTCCCTGTGGTGGGGTTATAGGCATGTACCAACAAGCCTAGTTTATGCAATGCTGATATCAAACTCAGGGCTTCCTGGATGCTACTAGGGAGGCACTCTATCAACTAAGCTACAGCTCCTTAACACATGCTTTAAAATTGAAAAATCACTTCCAAAGTATGTAACTAAGTATAGTTCAGTCAATAAAATTCATGATGGGCAAGCATGAAGACCTGAGTTTGGATCCCTGAGATCCATGAAAAAGAGCTTGGTATGATGGCACGGCACATGTCTGCACTCCTAGAACTAGAAAGGGGAAGACAGGTAGATCCCTGGAGCTTACTGGCCAGCCAGTATAGACAAATTGGTTCAGTAGGAGATCCTGTATCAAAGAGCAATATGATATAGTTACTATTATATTACATTATATCATATCACATTTAGTATGTTTGATAATTGTAGTGATATATTGTTTATGATCTAATAAAAAGTCACTGAAAAATCAGAAAAGAAAAGCAGCCAAGACACTAAAGACCTCTTACCTCTACCTCAGCCTGGGGCAGTCCTGACCTCAACATGGCTGAAGACTAGTTGCTAGTGTCCTGAGACTGAATGCTGAATGCCCTGCTCCTATCTTACATGCCTTCCTATTGCTGGGATTAAAGGTATGAGCTCTGCATTCACTTTTAGACTGATCACTCTTATATATCCCAGGGTGGCCTTGAACTTACAGAGATCCATCTGCCTCTGTCTCCTGAGTCCTAGGATTAAAGGTGTGTGCCACCACTGCCCAGCTTCTATGACTGTGACTGGCTTTGCATTCTGATCTTCAGTGGCTTTATTAGATCATAAACAATATATCACCATAGATAATAACACCTGTTATCAACCTCTGGCTTACACACATGTACAAGCATTCAGGTACACACACACAATAAAACTATTAAGTGAAGATGGGGTCAGCATTGCTTATGTTTTCATTTCTCTTAGTTCTAACATAGAGCACCATCTTCTTCCTCCTCTGGTTGATAGCCCATGTTGCTTCCTGTGATCTAGCCTTGCTCATTGCCCTGTCTAGCTAGAGTGCTGCTGGGGTATCCAGTCTCCCATTGGTTCAATTCAAGGACCAATCAATTGGATCAACTGTTGGTTGTCATTAAGGGCACACTCAACCACATATGTGAATATAATTCTACTAATATCAGCTCAGAAGGAATTTATTAAAAGACAGCATTCATCTAAATGTTTGTAAATAGAAGTGTATGCTATTTTCTGATCTGAAGTTCTCTAAAATGCATATGGTCAGCAAAACAGCTTCAGTTGGATGACCTGTTGTTGTCAAAAGATGGGAAGAGTTTATTGTATAAAAAGACACGTGGGCAGGAAGGAGTTCTCACTGGAAAGAGCTGCTGGAAATCCTAAGCAGCCATCTTGGTTACTTTTCCTCATGCTGTGAAAAACAATCAGCTTAAAGGAGAAAGGGTTGTTGGCACAGAGCTGAAGGTACAGTCATTCATGACAGGGAAGTCAAAGGAGCAGGAACTTGAGGCACCTGGTTACAGTGTATCCACAATGAGAAAAGAATGCTTGCTTCTGCTCAGCTCCTTCTCTCTACTTAAACAATCAAGGCTCCCTGGGAACAGTTCCTTATTTTCTAGGGATAGAACTTATCATTTCATTAGCATCATCAAGATGATGTTGCACACAGAATTGGATGTAGGCTTTGCAGTTTGAAAGTAGAAGCTGTGACCTTCTCATGGGTCCAAGGTGAATTGCACTGGGATCCAACCTTCCCTTTCCAACTGTCCAGTGGTCTACCAGATGTCTCAAGGAGTAGAAACATTTGTAAGCACAGAAAGAATGTCAGCAAGCAGTCAAGCCTGCCATGTGCAGAGAGAAAGTTCAGTGGTAAAGAAAAATAGGCATCCGCATCTGTGGCCCGCCTGGAATGGATCTGATGGCATCAAATATGTCTAACATTTCTTCTGCTTCCATCCCAAATGTTCCCATGAGCCTTTATCTCTGAAAAGACTCTGAACAGAAGTAGCTTGTAGCCTCCATCAACCTGTGGATGGATTCCTTGCTTGCTTTCTTGCTTGTTTGAAGCTAGACATCAGATTGTTGTTGTTGCATCCATAAAATTTCTTTTTTAACAATCTTATGAAGGGAGTAACTTTCCAAAGTAGTTTGCTTCTTCATGAAGCAGTGAAACTGATGGAATATATATGCCACCAAAGTCTTAATATCAAACCAACATACTTGTATCTGTGTTTATTTGAAAAAGGAAAAATAAATACATTTTTCCTTGCTTGTGTAAAAAATGATGATGTTGCACAGGTATGCCCCAAAGCCCACCACCCAGGTCATTCTGGATTCTGTCAAGCTGATGATGAACACTGAACAGTATGGCGACATTTTAGGTGTGTGGATGTCTCTCACTTCATCAGACTGTCATAGAGATCCAGGCCACTCAGAAGTCCAGGGAGAACTACAAGTCAGCATGAACAGAGTTTGGAACTTGTGGCATTGGACTTGGTCCTGCCAAAGATAATCACTTCCTTGATTCTTTCCTTATCCGTCAGCTGGGCCATCTATATGCTTATCATAAGGATGGAGCTGGTGAAATGTCATGTTATCTCTCCTGCCAACACCCTTAAAACAAACACAGTCATTGTTTGGTTTTGCTTTGTATCCCAAGCTGGCCTGGAATTTAAGGTCCTCCTGCCTTATCATTCAAAGCTTTGTGACTACAGGTGCATGTCACTAAACCTACTGAGGTCATATTTAAGTATGCCTCTAATTGATGCTATTGTTTTTGTTGCTCATGATTTTTTTTTCTTCAAAGGCAGCAAAAATAAGACAAAAATCTCCACCCAGGCTTTCAGGATAATTACTAGAGACCCCAAATTTAATAGAGCTTAAATTAGAAACATTTAGTGGTACTTGAAATAGCTTTCTTTTCCATCGAACAGAAGACTGACTCCTGGCCAGCCAGCAGTTAGAACGCAGTACATCCAGGTACTGTGGGATGTGGCCCAGTAGAATTCAACTTCTGCAGCCAAGTTGTCTGATGCTTGAACAATAAAACACACCCAGTATTTCTGTATAACTCAGACTCTCCCAGGGTGAACATCATAACTCAGTGGCTCTGGGTTCAAATCCCATTCCCATCACAAATCTGCAGTGTGACTCGGGGCAAGTTCAATTAACTTCTCTGAACCCCAGTTTCACCCGCTGTAAATTACTTCCCAGAGGGCTTCCTACTGGGGCCCTGTCCTGTGCATCAAAGAAAAATGTGGAAGTTGCATAGCTTTGCGATCCTCTGCAATACATCTTTCTTTTATGTTCTGTTCCCTCCCAGCAATTCTAAGAGGCAGTTAGATTTTGTTTTTGTTTTTTTTTTAATTTACTCAGGAAACCACACCTTAGCATCAGTGAAGGTGTAAAAACTCTACCAGTTAGAACTGGGTATTTATGGAGGGTTCATCTGATTGGAAATGTCACTCTGTGTCTTTAATACAGAGACACATCACCCTTTTAACCGATCAGATGATCAGATGCACCCACAAGACAGCTACATTTAAAAAGGTACATTATCAGAAATAGCTACATGTTGCATGCTCTTCAGGATCTGTGCAAACTACCATCCCATTGGAGTCTCTGCTTCCTTGTGTGAAACCTCAGGATGAGAATTACTGTTACTGCAGTAAGCAGTAGTATGCTGAGGGAAAAACACAAATCAAAACAATTTCTCCAAAGGAGAAACACTGGAATTTCTCATTCCAGCTGAAACTACTCTAAGATAGCAATAGCTTAGAACTTCCTACTTGTTTTTCTTTTTTTTTTTTGAAATAAAATTTTAGGTTTCATCTTACCTGTATTCGGACTCATACACTCTTACATTGTAGTGTGTGTGTGTGTGTGTGTGTGTTTTGCCTGCATATGTCTGTGAACTATGTGCATGCCATACCTATGAGGCCAGAAAAGAGCATTAGAGCTCCTGGGATTGAAGTCAAGGGTGGTAATAAACCTCCAAATGGATGCTAAGAATCGAACATTCGAACCCAGGTTGTTTGGGTTAGTGCTCTTAACCACCAAGCCACCTCTCTGGCACCACCTTGGTATATCTTTTTGTTTTTTTTTTTTTTTGGTTTTTATGAGACGGTTTCTCTGTATTGTTTTCGAGGCTGCCGGTCCAGCCCAGCCTCGAACTCACAGAGATCCGCCTGCCTCTGCCTCCCAAGTGCTGGGATTAAAGGCGTGTGCCCCACCGCCCGGCTCCACCTTGGTATATCTTAAGGGTGCATAAAACCTTGAATTAAAATGTCCAGGGTCAAAGGTAACCACCTTGAATATACTGTGAAGAGGATCTGAGGGTTTATAAAAACATACAAAGACGGTTAATTTTGACATGCAATTTTCTACGCAGGGTGTGTTCTGAACAGTGTCACCATGACTGTGACCCACATAGTGTTTCTTAACAGCAGGTGAAGTCTGGTGGAAGCCAGATAGTTGTGGCTAGCCTGGCTCTGGATGAAGGGAACTGACTGTGAGAATGGTGAAGACAAGAGGCAGATGGAGTGTCACACATGTTGCTGATAACACCATCAAAATTAAGCAGTTGCAAGAGATGGCAATATAAATGGCAACTGGACAGATGGTTGTTCTGAAATCTGGCATTCAAAGGTAAGGGGCCTTTGCCAGGATCAGATGAAAGAAGAATGGACACAGATGAGGTAGAGTCCAGCCTGCAGGAAAACTACAAAATCAGGGCTGTGGGAGTCAGGATGTAGGTAGCAATTAATTAAATAGTGTATGTAAGTGTTGGTACAAGTCAGGAGTGCAAGTGTGTGTGTGTGTGTGTGTGTGTGTGTGTGTGTGTGTGTAAGAGGATAACTTGTGGGAATCCGTTTTTTCTTTTACCATGTGTGTTCTAAGACTCAGCTTGGGAACATTTATCTACAGAACCATCTCACTGGCTTCCAACCTTAATTTTTGAGACAATGTCTTTCACTTGCCCAGGGCTCCAATTTGGCTAGACTATCTGACCACTAAGTACCAGGGATCTGTCTGTCTCAGTCTCCCTATCATTGGGATTACAGTTGTGTTCCTGGCCTTTTGTGTGGGTACTGGGGTTTGGCTGTTGGGTCCTTGTGCTTTCCTGGCAATCATTTTACCCACGGAGCCTCTCTCAAGTTGCTGACTTTCTTTTAAATACAGACATGTAATTCCTTAGGTAAACCCTCCCAGTTTCGTGGCTCCAATCACAAAGTCCAGTGAATCAACATTCTAGATCATTGGTCACCTTATACTCCTGAATGTTGTAATTTTAGAAAAGCAGCATGCACAAGAAAGATGTCATGCAAAAGGGTTCAAGCAGAGGGATTTTATATTAGGGTAAAGGATCATACGAAAGGGAAGAGGGGAGACTGACCTTCAGAGACAGAGCAGCAGGAGATAGTAGAGAGGAAAGAGAGGGAGAGGGGGAGAATGAGAGAGGAACAGAGAGAGGGAGAGAAAGAAAGAGAGGAATGGGAGGTGGGCAAGGGATCATAGTGGATATGCACAGGTGGTGCTTTTAGAGGCTGCAGCTGAGGGTGTATCCTGTTAGAACCCAAGGACAGGCTAGTGCAGATGCCTGAGTACTAACACTAAACTCAAAAGTTCAGCAAATGGCCAGTGTATTGCTGCGTACCTGTCAGTCGTGAGTACCTCTGATTCCCCCTCTTCTGTCTAAGGTCTTCAATACTCTTAGACATGGGCAGAGCTTCCCATATGATACAAGGCCAACACACCATCTGCTTCCTATGCTCTTTTATCATAGTCTCTTGATCTTGACCTCCAGAGAGTTGGAAGCTCTCTTAGGTCTCACTATATCCCAGGTGCAAAGACAGTGCTCTCAGAACTTGTGGGTCAACTTCAGCTCCCGGAGTTCTCAGAATGACAACTGCCACTCTGAGTGACACAGCTCAGAGTAGATAAGGTAAAGCAGATCAGGGATGGATGTGAAACAAGACACCTATAGCCAAAGGCTAGAACTCACCTGGACATTGCCTTGCCAGGGCTCCTGACCAGCTATCATCTTCCAAACCCACTGAGCTAGGCACAACAGACCGTCAGCAAAGGTCTCAGGAATCAAAGGTTCCAATCCCATGTTTGTTCCTAGAATGTAGAATAGCACCCCTCAGTTGCAAAGAACATATGATGAGACTTTATGCTTTTACTGTCAACTGTTTAAAATACAATACAAACTGTTTTGAGAGCCTCTTTGAGCTCTTGGAAAAGTAAAGACAGTAAGGATGATTCTTGATAAAGTGTGGTTATCTGGGCATGGTGGCACATGGACATAGTGACCATTCAGTAGTAAGCTCATTTTGGACTATGCGTTGAACCTCTGCCTCTACACAGAGCAATAACTGGGAGATGTCATCATTTTTACCATTCAAATAGAAATATAAAATAGAAATACTTTCATTAAAATTTTCAACAGGTTTGATTTAACTTTTACATTCATTTATTTACCTGTCATGGCCATGAGCAGGTCTTATACACAGTTTAGTTCTGGGAGTTGGAACTCAGGTCACTGACCTGGTATCAGGCATCTTTATCTACTGAGTCATCTTACCAGTCTCAGTGATTTCAAATTTAAAACAGCAAACAACATACATCTTCGTAAGACATGTAGGAATTTCCACAGCAATAGAAAGACCTTCCGTTGTGGAATGAATTTTAAATTTGTCTTTGGCTGCACTTTTTCCATTTTCTTTTATGCAGTCAGTGCACACTTGTTGTATTGCTGCACATGGTACTGAGTTTCACAAAAGTACTCACATGCAAGTCTCCCCCACCTCTCTCTCTCTCTCTCTCTCTCTCTCTCTCTCTCTCTCTCTCTCTCTCTCTCTCTCTCTCTGTGTGTGTGTGTGTACAAGCATATATATCTTCTCTTATGTTTTCTGCCTACTTCTTTGAAACTGCCAGACATTTTTATCCTGGTAAAATACGTATAACATAAAACCATTTTCCTTTGCTCTATGTCCAATATCCATATGCGAGTGAGTACATACCATGCTTGTCTTTCTGTGACTGGATTACCTCACTCAGGATGGTTTCTTCTAGTTCCATCCATTTGCTTGTGAATTTCAAGATTTCTTTTTTTTTCTGCTGAGTAATATTCCAATGTGTTAATGTACCACATTTTCTTTATTCATTCTTTGGTTGATAGGCATCTAGGTTGCTTCCAGGTTCTTGCTATTACAAATAATGCTGCTATGAACATAGTTGAACAGATGTCCTTGGTTAATGAATATGCATCCTTTGGGTATATGCCTAAGAGTGGAATTGCTGGATCTTGAGATTAAGTCGAGAAAAGAATAGAGCAAGAAAAGAGATACCTTAATAGAGGGAGCCATTATTGGTTTAAACAGAAATCTGTTACTAGGGAAATGTCCAGAGATCCACAAGGATGACCCCAACTAAGAATCTAAGCAATAGTGGAGAGGTTACCTTAAATGCCCCTCATTTATAAAGAGGTTGATGACTATTTTAAATGCCATCCTATAGCCCTCATCCAGTAGCTAATGGAAGCAGAAGCAGAGATCCACAGTTAAGCACTGAGCCGAACTCCTGGAATCCAATTGTAGAGAGGGAGGAGTGATGAGCAAAGGAGTCAAGACCATGCTGGGGAAACCCACACAAACAGCTGACCTGAGCAAATGGCATCTCATGGACCTCAGCCAGATGGCTGGGGAACCAGCATAGAACCAAATCAGGCCCCCTGAACGTGGGTGACAGGAGGCATGGGAAGTTTATGAGGCCTCTGATGGTGGAACCAGTATTTATTCCTAGTGCCTCAATGGACTTTGGGAGCCCATTCCCCCATGGAGGGATACTTTCTCAGCTTAGATACACAGGGAGGGCCTAGGCCCTGCCCCAAATGATGTGACAGACTTTGATGATCCCCCATGGAAGGCATTATCCTCCCTGGGAAGTGGATGGAGGATGGGATTTGGGGGTCAGTGGGAGGCATGGAAGGATAGGAGGGAGAGGGTATTGGGATTGATATGTAAAATAAAATTGTTTCTAATTTAAATAAAAATTTGACATTAAAAATAATAAATAAAACTTACCATTTTTCAGCTGCTCACAGTTCAGCAGTATTAACTCTTTTGATTTCTGTTATACTTGGGATATTGTTTCCCATGTTACCCTGGGAATATTTATTCCCTTGGAATCAGTATCTTAAGTGATTATAATTTATTTTAAATTATGTTTTTGTGCATAGGTCTGTGTGGCTGTGTACATGAGTGCAGGTACCCATGGAGACCAGAAAAGGACAGTTCTCTGGAGAAGGAGTTACAGGCAGTTGGGAACTGCCTGACACAGGTGTTGGGAACCAGACTTTGACATCTAGAAGATCAGTATTTGTTCTTAATAACTGAAGTGTCTCTCCAACCTCCTACTCATTAAACCCCAACACATAATAGCTACTGTGCTCAGTTATTGCATGTTTCTGCTTACTTCTTCCTACAGTAGCCCAGTGAATGGGGAGACACTTATCTATCCCAGTTACGGATGAGAAACCTGAGAGCCAGGGTATGTCACCATCTCCACAGTCCTGACTGGAGAGCACAGTCTCATGAGAAGCGTGCCTAGGGCAGTGCCTATGCACTAGAACAGCATCATCAATGCTTCTACTGTGTAGACTGGGTCATGCTGCTGGAGAAGTGAATCGATCATGCTTGTCTGCGCTTACATCCTGCACTCTACCTGTGTAATAATGGCTGAGCCAACAGATCCAGACTGAGCTCCATAAGCGGTGGCCTGTCACTTCAAAGATCTGAATGACTTCCTTAACCCGGTCTATCCAGTGATGGGAACAGGGAACATATTAACTCCTGCATGGCCTAAAAAAAGAAATATGTGGTTTACATTTGTACACAAAGGTGCAAATTTGAGTATTTGTCCATAATTGTTATCTTGTATAATATGATTGTATATTATTGCATGTTATGTTATTGTCTATTATTTTATAATAAACCATTATACACCATATTGTTACACATTATGCATTATAGCTATATATTACATATGCATTATATATTTTATTAGAGCAGGGACCCAGGCTGTGTAATAAACTGCCTGGGTAAACTCCTGGCTCACTCACTTCTAGTTGCTATTCACCCTGCTGGGCCTTAATTTTCTAATATACTCTGTGGAGATGGGAAGTCTCTCTATACCTCATGAGACAGATGTGACCAAAGAAAGAGCCTGTTGCACTGTGAGTCCTAAAGAGCAGGTAGCTATGACCCATTATTCATTCAGAAAGTATTTATTGGGTCAGACCTTTATTAAAGCCAAGCTCTGCCCATTCATACTCTCAAGAGGGTAGGCACAGGTGAACAATGGATTCTTCATAGAGGATAGTAGAATAGAAGCCATAAAGTGTCATGGAAAACAAAAGAGTGGACAGAGAGTGTGTGTGTGGGGGGGGGGGGAGATAAAGCATGCAGAAGCTGGCAGCTCGTTCTTCTAATATCTACTTATTATGTTTTTGTTCTATACAAAAACTGCTGGATATTTTGTACAAAAGGTGTTTTATAAATTATTTAAAACACATGTGTGAGGCCAGTGTGTGGTGGAAAGGGAGAACTGTCTCCAGCAAGGTATCCTCAGACCTCCACATTCATCTGATGATTGGTGAGTGTGTGTGTGTGTGTGTGTGTGTGCACTCTCACACATATACACTCACAAAATAAAAGCGTTGAGAACAATTTTAATATGTATGTATACATATGCATTTATATACTGTTTTTTCTGATATATTTTCACTATGTAGCCCAAGCTGGTTACCACATCCAATAAAATGCATATTTTTTAAAATCTTCTACTCTGCACAATTAAATTGTGAACAAACAGAGATTGCTCCAGAAGAAGAAGCTAGGCAGAGCTCTTTAAAGGATAGGAAGGAGGCTGAGATTCCATCATTATCGGTGGGTCCTGGAGAGCTGCGCAGTTTGAACTGCATCTGGCATTCCGAGCCAGTTTCCCCAGTCAATATCCACATTGAATAGAAGCCATTGATCAACCAAGTGAAGCTGCTAAAAATGGATTCCAGCCTGAGAAAAATTTACTAGGGAAGTAGTCGATGTGCCTGGCTTATCTGGGCAAGGCTAGGTTCTTTGTGATCAGACTGGGGCCAGATAAGCTCCTAGTCATGAGACCCTGGCAGCACCCAAACAGAGTGCAGGTTGGGTAAAGGGCAGGCCTCACCAGTGTGCACTGGGTCAGGCTTGGATCTACACTGCTTTCTGGCCATACGCATGCACTAGAGCACACACACACACACACACACACACACACACACACATTGGGTAATTCCACCCTTTACAGAAGCCTGACTCTGTAATGAAGGCTAGTGGATTCTTGTAAATCTCTACTCTCCTTTCTTGTCTGGTGGCTTATAACAATTTGACTGGGATGAACAGTGTAAGGAGGGGCTGGAGGCCAGGGTCTCACACTAAGAAAGACAATTTGCCTTGGCTATTTCCACACTAGTTATGGCTCTGTAGAGGAAGCCACGGGACAATGTAAAGGTACTTCTTCTCTCACTGGCCTTACTCCACCACACTATATTTATTTTGGTTTTCTGAAAAATCGGAACTACTTTCTATGCCATGGCATCTAGATGGCCTGTGTGAGTTATTGGTGGGAAGGGGGTCAATAACCCATGCAACATTTCTACAGAAGTTAGCCCTACATAACCTATTCCTTGGCAACCTGAGTGTAAGCTGAAGATAGGGCCCTCCATGGCCAGGATTCTGCTACATGCAGCTGCCTTCTCACAGCTACTGCAAACCCAAAACAACCTGTGTTCCCCCAAAGTGTTTCTCACCAGGCTTGTAGTTAGGACTCAGTGATATTTCTTGCCCACAGGGAATGCTCAGGACATTAGTGATCACATTAAGAGATTGTGTCTTGGGACTGGAGCGATGCTTCAGCAGTTAAGAACACTTTCTGCTCTTGCAAAGGACCCTGCTTTGATCCTCACAACCCATAGGGTGACTCATAGCAACTTGCTCAACAGTTGCAGGGGATCCAATGCCCTTTCCTGACCTCCACGGGCACCAGGCATTCACACTCATGTGGTACACACACACACACACACACACACGTGGACAAACCACTCATACACAAAATATAAATAAATAAATAAATTAATTAATACATGTTTAAAAAAGAAAAGAAGAAGGTACATCTTTCCATGAAAACATATATCATCCCCCAACTAACATCTAATTGCTAAAGCAGAAATGCATTGCCACTGAACTGTCTCAAATTTTATCCTATTGAGCATTTTGGCTCCAGATAAATTTCAATAGGATTTGTCTGTTAACTAGACCATACATACCTACAGATCAACTGCTGTTTCAAAATTCCTACACTTTGGAGGTATTTCTCAGTGATATCTATTACATGATGATGCAACTAAAAAGTAGATGAATGAGCACATTATCATTGGGATCTTGGGAGATTTCTGCTTTTCTGTTTCGCTCTAAGATTGACAATCACTCTAACAATATCTTTTTATGTTAAAAGTAAAAGTAAGCCCATTTCAATTTCTGATTTACTCAGGTTGGAGGGAACACAGCCAGGAATCTTCTCAGAGGCCGGTCCAATTTGAAGCCTGTCATGCAGGGGTTTGCTGCTCAACTTGCACACGTTTGTAAAGGCAGAGTCGGGTTTGACTATGAAGCATTGTATCATCATGATTGGAATCAATAGTTCCTGCACTGCCATTTGTCACGTATTTACAAGCTTGAAAAATAGTTCATTTTGTCCTCATCTCATAACTCAAAGATTGAATCAGAGCCCTGGAGGGATCTGCTGACAGGACACGTTCTTTACTGATCACCCGTCTTGGTGAGGCTGTGATGGCAGCCACTCCAAAAGCAGAATGTAAATAAAAATTAAAGCACAACTCAGCTGGCACGCCCTTCATATTTTTGGTTTTTAAATATTTAGGAATCTGCCAGGAGTCTTGGATTACCTTGGTGAAGCCAGTTTCCCCATCACACTTTCAAAACATTCATTGCATCTTTTTTTTTTAAATGAACAAAAAGCAAAATCTAGAGTTAATGGTCCAAAAACTTCATAAAGTATCCTACATCCAGTCACCTCAAATAGAGTACATAAAGGACCTTCTATTCCCAGGGAAGATTTGTGAACACATTTAAAGATAATGCCTTCAATTTTAAGATAAAAGATTTATGAATGATGGAAATCGTGTCTGTGAAATCACTAATCCCAGCTCTCTAATATTTCAGATGAAAGGCTCCATAAAATGAAAGGACTGCCTATAAAGTTGTATTCTACCTGCTGCCAGAGACATCAGTAATAGGATTGCAAAGTGAATATTGAAAAGAATCTGGCATGTGTGCTTCAGGCTAGAGTAACATGGTTAGTCCAGTCTGATAGCTCTGCTGTTGTATTGATAAGGTATTTAGTGGTTAAAGCGTCAGGAGCGAAGTCAGTGCCTTGAAAGAGACCCTAGAACAGTAACAGATAAGCACCTTGGTCATCAGATCCAGCTGCTAGTATCAGCCCAAATCTTAGGATGGCACCAGTATTTTTCAGGCATTTTCTTTATGGATTCCAGTCTGTGGGAGATGAATTCATTTCTTGAGTTCAGCCTGAGATATCTGGGTTTCCAAATGGCCTCCTAATGCTCAGAGGAGCTGTTCTGTGCCAGTGTGCCTTGAATTGTGTTGGCTGGAGTCAGGGTGAAAGGACACTGCTGCACACATGGATGGCAAATCTTCCTTCCTGGGTTAAACTTTTCTGAAAATACCCTCACAGGTACTGTCAGATGAGTGTTTCCATTCTGTGGTGATAGTTGAATTTACAATAAGATTGAGCACTATAGTCTTAGAGGTGACAACTTTTAGAGGCATATGATGAAGATAATCTTTCCTGGTCATGTATGTGAGATTCCACCATCAGACAAAGAATGGAACAACTAGTCAGGACACAGACACATACACACAGACACACACACACAAACACACACACACACACACACACACACACACACTGGGGTATACTGGAAGTATCTCAGCTCTAGTCTTTCTGGAAGCAGAGCTGTTCAGCTTCATTCAGTAATTGAGATACTGGGGCAATGTGAGATCAAATTGGGACTATATAGTGAGATTCTGTTCTTAGGAAATATCCATTACTCTACATTTATTAATCATATTTTAAGTTTATTAAGTCATTTTTTATACTGGTCTATGTATGTGCTAATCCCTTACTTCTATTTTGAACAGTTGAATCTCTTGTTATATCCTTAATTTTTGAAGATAGGAAACAGTTACTGCATATACATTCATTTGTCCTTATATGCTAAACTTCATTGCCATTCTTAAAGATCTCATTTGCCCTTAACATTTGTCTCAGGGCACAGGAGAGCATTTTTGTCAACAGTTGACATGATGTATAAGAAGACACTCATTTATCTTTCCTTTTCTCTGTGTAACTTACCACATCCCCTCTCTATAATCTATTTTTTCCCTGGGACAAAAAGTCATGATGCACTAACAAGAGCAGAATTCTAAGAAGCACAAACTAAAAGAAGGAAATAAAGGAGGTCATCCAGTGAGAACACGTTTGTCATCGATAGGTATGTTTTGGTTTGTGGCTATTACAAGGAGAAGCTTGAAAGTGCACTCCAAAGCAAGACCAGAATGTGACTGAAGCAGGTGAGATAGTATCCAGTCTTGGAAGTGGACAGAAGCACATGTGTGGTAAAGGAAGGTAGGTAGATAATCCTTCTCATCCAAGAGAGGAGAGCCCCGGCAGGGAGGCCTTGCACCTTGCTCCCAGCATGGTAGACTGGATGAGAAGTACGCTGGCTAGAGTGTATTTATTAAAATCATTTAACAAAAGTTATCAAGTCCTACTCTACCATACATGATGAGTCTAGAGCAAGAAAGAGAAGAGGTAGCAGCGATTCCTGCTGTAATCCATTCACCGAATTGTATAAACAACACCGTT